TAGACGAATATTTTTGGATTTCAATCTGTAATATAATCAGCTAGCTCGGATTCGTTAGCGCTACGGATTTCTGATAATTTTGAATCACCTAAAGCGACAATACCTGTTTTCCGCTGACTACTCCTCAATCAACACTATAGCTAGTTAAACATAATGGTTTCATGATATCGCCATGTCATATTGACAATATGATTCATAAAATTGATGAAAGTATTAGCAAAATCGGTCAACAAATTGACTTGTAATTATCACCAGACGATGTTTTTTCTTTATCTTAATTCACTACGGATGATTGCAGTATGTTTCTCTATCGGTTGCCCATTCAATAAATATTTTAGAACCTCGTCAGTCTAACTGGAGGTTTAGCGACGCAATCATGCATGCAAATAATCAGTATAAGTAGTCGAGCAAATCTCCTGAAAACCGAAAACCGTCGAATTTACCCCAACACTGACTAAAATTCAAGCCATTATCATAGACATAAGTAGGGAGTTGTTCTCCCCTTGTTTACAACTTATGTTCTCTCTGAAAATCACATAAGCAGCACTCACTGTTTATCAGCTTGTAAAAATTTATCTAACCAGAAACATCGTGCAGCACCTATCTTTATGGCACATAGACTTGGTCGGTTTCAACAATTGTTAATCGCTATATTTGTAACTAACTTATGCGAAGCTGGTTACGTGAAACTAACTTGCATGGACGATCAGCCTGTGAATATGGATATAAATAACATTGAGTCTACAGCATGTCTCTCACGAATACACTCATGTTTAACTAATTCCTCCTAGCAATCTGTCCAAAATTTACATAAACATCAGTTTCCACGCACTTGAAAAAAACTTTGGCAACCATTCATATTTATTAGTAGTATTACTAGATTCTATCACGTTTAAGTAATAATGAGGTCGAGAAAATCTCCCCGTAACTAGATAAGCCGTATCAAACTTAACAAACTAACTGGAACACTGGTCGAAATTCTTCTCCATGGTTATACTTTTGTTCTTTCAGTTAGCCTACTAATGCAGATTCAATTGGAAATCAACTCATACGTACAGCATGCCAACATAAACGTCAACGAACTTTCTAATTTGAACCAAAGGTAATACAGATATCAACACCGACACAACAAAATACTTGTACTACCTATAAGTTGTTAACCAACGGCTATTACCACGCATCTTACGGCAGCTTATTAAAATATATATACACGAAATCATTCTTAATTGTTATAATCCAACTTTGTTCCACTCCTATATAATCTTTACGTAGATTTTTATTTTTCGCGTGATAAAAACGAAACCAAACATTTTGAAACTACCATATGTTTTTCCCGACCAGTTGCTGCCGCTTTCTTTCTAATTTATCTTTGAGCCTATCAATACCGGGAGAATTCTTATTATCCTTTAGTCACTTCAGTCACGCAACAATCCCACTCAATTTGACATCGAAAAAACGTCACATTAATTCTTGTGGGAGAGCACAGTAGTGGCATTGGGCCCTATCCATACAATCCTTAAAGCTGAACACGGGACATCTAGGAAAATAGATATTCAACATTTAATATGGAGAAAAGCCTAGTGATGGGGAAGACGGGGAGAATGAATTCAATTAAATACATCGAGTGGCATGGCTCAGCCTTGCAGGCGTGGTCACTCCTCATGAGTTGTATTTACTCGTATAAAAATTTATCGTTATATCTCCAGCCTGAATGTGTTCTCCATCATATATTGGTAATTGTTACGATACGATGAATCAGTGTAGACAATGATGTGACTTCCTAACCTCTTATTATCATCCCCGTTCTCTCTTCTTTTCAATTCCTTCTTCTCACACATTACCGAAAAAGTAAATGATTTGTTTATTTTGAAACAATCGTCTACGCCCAGCATTGGTGTTATTACTTTATTATTTTCGCATTGCAACGGACCAACATCTTACCTGATAATGCGACTGCTACAGGTGTCCAGAAACCCTTCTGCTATGAGGCAAACTCATTCACTTGAACTGCGAAATATTCAGATCCACAGAAAACCACTGAAATAACCAGGATTAATATGATCGAGTGGCTAGACTACCAACCGTTCGACATTATCCAACCAAAAAACGAGAAGCAAGCGCAAAGAAACCAGTCGGTTTAGACAATATCTTTGAATATCCAACAAAGAATGATGCTGAAGCCATTATGTGTGCAGAACGAAGCTGTTTAAATGGATTTGGGGCATGTTACACAAATGTTCTGAGAATACTCAACAAGTGGTCGGAGACAGGTGTGCAGATAAAGTCTACCAAGTCGGATGAAGTCACAGTCACAGAAAATCGAATGACACAGTTTGTAGACAGTAGAAAACTTGTCGACAGAATACACAAGCTTGAAGGAGTGGTTCTATTCATCAGAAATACACTGCCACTTACTGTTATCGATGACAAACCTCACGAAAATGGAACATATGAATTAGATAGTTTCCGCTTGAGCTTCAAATTGCAAGGGCTGCTGATTAGTTTGGTCTACCGGAGCCCAAACTATGGGGTGAATGACTTCTCGCTAGACGGTTTCAACACTTGGCCACCAGGTGGTCGATGTTTGGTCTTATGAGGCTTTAATGCACATATGCAAGACTGGAGTAATCTGGGGACCGAATAGTCAGAAAATTCTTTCGAACTGAAACTAGTTGATGCGGTTGTTATATTTTGCCTACCGCAACATGTGAAAGCAGCAAATAGGTATGACCCGGACTCCATATCATCCTAACTAGATCTTACTTTGACACATTGTAAGGATGACGTTACAAGCCTCCATTATATGCCATTCCCTATGTTCTTGCCTTTTCTTTCCATATAGTTTTCAATAACGAGCACATGCCAGCTCAAGCCAGATCAAACAAGTGAAAAGCAAATATACAAAATATTATACGTTCAGCATCCTCAGCAGATTGGTCAATAGAACCAGAGTTCCCACACGATTAAGGTAAAACTCGGGTATTCTCAAACTGCCTTAACAATGCACATACCGTTAAGATATCCTCCCATTCAGTTAATAAAAATCCCCCGTGCATACATTGGACACTGTGATTATTAAAGAACTCGATGTCTTCGGTCTACTAAATGGGATTGATGTAGGCAAATCCTTAGAACACGATAAACAGCATCCTAGGTTACTAGAGGAACTAGCTATTTTGGTCTCATAACTCTTAAGACTTTTTTAATCTGTATGTAACCAAGGGTCAATTATCAAAAGACCAGAGGAATGCCATAGTAAGTCCTGTCTTGAAAACTGGCACAAGACATAAACCTGAGGACCTTCGATCAGTAAGCCTAACCAGAGTGGTTGTTAAAATTTTAGAAAAGATTATCTATGAGTTAGTTAAGTATCTTGACGAGAACTAGATTCTTTCTGAAAAGCAGCATGTCTTTAGAACAGGTTATTCATGTCTCACAAACTCATGAGTAGCCCATGAAGTTAGTGCCCCATTAAATATAAAAAGCTACCTATAAATGTATCCTAAATTGACTTCAGCAAAACCCTTGACAAACGTCTTTACAACCGGCTGTGATATAAGCCAAGTAATATCGGGATTTGAGGCAATTTATTAATGTGGACAAAGGACTTCCTTGTTTGGCGCCAAAAAAGAGTACGGGTGAACTTGAAGTTGTCCAAATGAGGAACTGAGCTCAGCGGAGTGCCTCAATGTACAGTTTCGAGGCCATTGTTTGTCCTCTTGTATGTAAATGACCTTCCTAGTCTCCTACAATCATAAGTTTTGTTATATGCTGATGATGTCAAGATACGGAAGGCGATAGTTTAGGGCTTCAAAATTACTTGGAAAACCATCTGAATGGTTGAAAAATGCTTCCAAGTGCATTGTGATGCATATTGGTCACTAAGGTACAAATATATACACGGTAGTGTTGAGTACTGCATACAAACGGCTAGCCCTTGCCCAAAAAGAGTCTGTCCGCCGTTGGGAAAGGTTCAAAGAACAGAAACCAAGCTGATTACTAAAATAGCAAAGCTCCTGCATGATGCTCGACTGGCTTAACTAAACCTATTTCCATTGTCACATAGAAGGAACCAGAGACGACTTGACCACAGTATTTAAATTACTTTGTGATTGATTTGCATCTGATACGTCCTCATATTTCTTGCCTCCCAAGACGGAAAAGTTACGAGGATATCCTAAAAAACGTGTACAAGCTAACAACAAACTACTAGACTTTCCCGTCAAATCATCAACGAATGGGATTCGTTAATTCAACACCTGATTGAAACTCCTCCCGCCCACGCTTTTACGAAAAATTCGGGTCAACTCTGGGACCACGATTGTCAGGACTAACATAGGCTACCTAACGTTCTATCCTCTCCAGTATGAAACTGATCAATGTTGCCATTGTTTTCACAAGCTCCCCAGTCTATCATGTTACGTTTATTTTTCCAGGTTAGCATTCTATTTCCTGACTACTCGAAAAATTTACAACCTTTCGGAGTATCTCTTGTATGACCAACTATACATCTACCCAGTGGCGTGAAACATATTATGCATTATCAGAAGGGGTGTTGTGGAGATTTAGTATTTGCATAGTCGAAAGCGTGAGTCAATTGAAGCTAGACCACACGGAAAACCTGGAAGCACTGGACGGCTGTTTTGTCCTATTATGGGACTTCTCGAGAAGTACATCCAGGAGTTCTAGTGAGAAGCAGTGACCAGTGGAGTTCAAACCACGTCTGTTGTGAGATAGCAACTCACTGAAGACAGTTGGTGAACGGTTGCTCAACTTCGTGGATCAGGTGAAGCTAGACATTAACATCGCTGTATGCCGGTTCAGTGGTCTATCGTTTTAGGGCTCTGGCTCGAGACTGGTAGGTCCTTGGTTCGAATCTCGCGAGTGCGCTATCGTGGATGCGCACTGTTGAGGAGTCCCATAATATGACGAAACGGCCGTCCAGTGCTTCCAGGTTTTCCGTGTGGTCTAGCTTCAATTGACTCACGCTTTCGACTATGCAAATATCATGCATTGAAAAGATTGGACATTAAAAAAGAAGCAGCGCAGTTTACGACTCTGATTTTTGACGTTAAATTTACATTAAGTTGTTTTTGGCTGTAGTCAGCTTGTATTATTACTAGATGTAAGTTAGTTTCAGTGATTTGGACTTTTTGACTTAGATTTAATCACGAACAGGTCTCAATGTATATTCATCTGATTACTTCTGCTTGATAAATCAAATATAAAAGACAGCTGGTTTCATTTCCTTTTGTATTCCCAGATTACTGTGCTGAGTTAGTAGATTTCCTGACAAAGGTTACACTCATTGACTATTAGAGGATCCACTATATGCCGAAGAAACTCGGGACATGTCCGAAATCATTGGAGGCTCGAGAAAGACGAGCCGAAAAGAAGCGAGAAGAGCGAGAAATCACACTAAAAAAGGCTGAGGATGAGTATTGGAGAGATGATGACAAGCATTTGAATAGAAAACAACAACGGAAAGTGAGCTTTTAATTCATGTAATGTACACTGCAGGAAGAAAAAGACTCAAAGCGTCTGGAGCAATTAGAGAGAAAAAAGGAGAAAGAAAGGCTATATAATGATGAAATTGCTGGTTTTAAGTCATCTAAATCCACAGTGACTAAGGAGCAACCGTCAAAACTTACACAAGCGCAAATTGCAGAAGCTCAAAAGAAACTGGAGGCCCAGCTATTAGCTTTAAACCAAACTACTCAGAAACCTGAGCCTGCAGAATTGACTCCTAACCCAAACCGAATTGAGAAGGATGGTTTGGAAGCTCGTACCGTTGAAGAAGCTATTACCATACTAAGGTACTCGTTTGACACCTCAAGGGAATGACATTTTTTCCCAAACCTTGTATATGAGTGTTCCACCATTATATTATCACTATTAGTATTTCCAGGTCAATAATGCGATTTAAAGTTGGGCACAGATTTAATCAGTTTATCGTTCTATGGATCTTGCCAAATGACCGATTCGGAGATTAGGTGGTGTCATATCGAATTAGTTTGTGGAGACTATGTTTGATGATTTGCCTAATAGATTTCTTAGCTAACTGACTCACGTGATGTTTGATATAGGTATAGGAAAAACTTACATGATCCAAATGTTTGAAAAATCTTGGACGCATTCATTTTTTGTTTTCTTTCCAATTCATCTCAGAAGCTTTTGTATCCCTTGTACACTGTTTTAATCCAAAAACTAGAACTGAAGGACCAATTATGTTTACCTTTAAAATGTTTTCAACCAGTGTTAGATCCTCTGTATGGATAATTAGTATTTACATCATAAAGTTATGGTTGAAACTTATCCTCGCTTCCTCATCGTGTGTAGCAAGTAGGAAAACCACATGGATGATACTGTATAGTGATATGTAACAAAAATAAAAAATGCACAGGTTCCTGACTATCGCGTCTGCACAGTGTATTTCTTATTTCCAATTAAGTGGTGCCGGTAACAGTTTATTAATAGTCTCTATATATGATAGGTAGTTGTCACTACCAGAATAATTGACTATATGGCAGTTCATTAGATTGTTCACTTTTTCTTTCGTAGTTTTAAAGCTGTCCGCTTCTACTTTACGGCTGCGAAACGTGGTCATTAAGAGTAGAAAATACTCGTAAGTTACTAGTATTTGACCACAGATGTCTTAGAAGTATTGCTCGTATCTGCTAGGATCACTGGGTAAGTAATAGTGAGGTTGGACGCAGGTTATTGGGGAATGATGGTAAATCAATTGGTGAGGTTATGAATCTTCATCGACTGAGATGGTTGGGCCATGTGTTCAGTCAGTTAGCTACAAAGTAGAACCAGGCACTTATGTGCATCGGTTCAAGTTGCCATGACTCATTAGCACAACAAGATGAACACCAAATTCATATAAGTAGTTAATTTAATGGTGGTAATATATAAAAGATTGTAAATACAGGGATATAGTACAGGAAGAAAGACAGATATAAAACAATTTTAACGTATGTCTTAACACCGATTACCATGATGCGCAATGCTAACTAGTATAGGGGATGGTTGGAAGAGAGTTAGAGAAAGCCAAACCTTGGTTGAGGTCTGCGTGACTATCGTAACCAATGGTTGGAGACTCTGTGATATGTCTCAGAATCGATCACAATGGCGTAGGTGTATACACTCTTTGTCTTAAACTTTGAGACTAAAATTGCTTCATATCTGTCTTTCTTCCTGTACTATATCTTTATATACAATCTTTCTTTTATATATTGCCACCACTAAATTAACTACTATAAATTCGGTGTTCATCTTGTTGTGATAATGAGGTGTGGCAACTTGGACCGATGCATATATGTGCCTGTTTCTACGTTGTAGCTGACTGACTCTCTAGATCCGCTTCGTATTAGTCAACTAATTTTTATAATTGCAAACAGTAGTACTTACATAACGCTTTATAAGCTTCTGTTGTGACAAGTTTCTGTTTTCGTTGTTGGTGTATTCATCTGAGCGTATTGCAAGTTTAATTTAGTGCTTGTCACAATATATCAGGTCAAACAGTGTATACAATCCACTTTCGCATCATCATGTATTTAAATCACCCCTCCATCTCCTGTTATTAGTTAAATTATAATAATTAATAAAGCCTATTCTGATTACAGCCTACGCGAAAGTTAATGTTTCATTGAATTCAATCCTGAAAGCATCAATTTAAATCGAAATGACTTATGTATTGTGGTAAATACCCCAATTTTAATCCTTAATAATTAGCACAAACTGTGTGATATTGGATTAAACACAGCTCAAAGCCCAATTTACCTACCTTTGTTTGGAAAAATAGGTATTAGTAGTAGAAGTAGTACTAGTCTTCAAGTTATGCATATAGCCTAAAGTTTAGTACACAGGTGTACTAGGATGTGGTTAGGGTGTAAAGTATTTATAGGAAGCTTTGTGCCTACACCAACTCTTAGTACTAAACCGTTCCAAGTAGTTGAGGGGTACATATATCTCAGTAGCTGTTTAAACACTGGTGGCAGCGTAAGTGATGGGATCAACTTACGTGTGGTGAAAGCCAGAGTAGCTTCTGCCAATCTGGCTTATCTTTGACGCCTTCATAACGTCAGTGTGGTTGTTAAAGACTGAGTTCGTAACGCGTCGATGAGAGCGGCTTCTCTCTATGCTTGTGAAACCTATCCTCACCGATTTGAGGACGTTGAGCATTCATCATTATCTCAGAAGGATTACTGACATTCAGTGGCAGCACCATGTTGGCATTGGGGTGGTCCGGCCACAGTGAAGATTTCACCATCTCAAAACACCAATTTCGGCCGCCTAGACGTCGTCCTAACGAGTTCCACATCGTTAATTGTTTGTCGACGCTTCGACTGGTTAGAAAAAAGTGGAAAGGTGGTCGGTGTACAACGTGGTATTGTGATATGAAAGAAAGCTGTACAAGACTGATGTTCGTTGTCTCAACGAATCCCTGGTTGGAGTCCTAGAGATAGTGCAACAGCGACCTAAAACGTTATCAGAAATGGCTCAGGAAAAAAGCCGGTGCAGGTCCTGCCGCAGTCTTTTGGTTTCTTTATGTGTGAGGAACTTCTCTCACTAAAAGAATCCTTTCTAGTTGTATTTTTCCTGATTAAAGTGCTTCTTCTACTAATATTATTATTCCTTTTACTTCAATACATTAATTCCTATCCATTATTTTTCTATCATACTGACCTTTGTCTTCACAATCATATATATATATTTCGATGCCCCTTTGTACCAACATTTGTGTCTAAATAAGTAGACCAAAATGTACAAAGGTTAGTTTTCGAAAATCTTAGAGAATACCAACGAGCGTAAAATATAGATTTAAAGCTTTCAGTTGATAATCTTAAAATAACAAAATTAAATATACGTACACATGATTACTGAAGCCTATTCGCCTTCTGCTTTTTATTTTCATAATAGTTAACATTCTTTCTACCTCGTTTTTTCCATTTAGTGTTAATGGTGAAGGTGATGGGGATCGACATCCAGAGAAACGCTTAAAAGCTGCTTATCAGGCATTTGAAGAGCGTATGATGCCTCAGCTAAAGGCTGAAAATCCAAACATGCGACACTCACAGCTTAAACAGTTAGTATTTAAAATGTTTCAGACATCACCAGAAAACCCTAAAAACCAACATAATTCATGTTACAATTCCAAATAAGTTGATGTATAAAACTGCATTATGTTTTTTTCTTTAAAGTAGTTATTTCGAGTTTGAGACCACCACTTAAGAGTTATTTCAATATGTCAAACCAGGATTATTTTGAGCTTTATCTTGTACTTAAATTATTATTGGGGCTGATTAGTTTGTATGTGTGTATATGTACATTTAAGCTTGTGTAACTTAAATTTACCAGTATTTGGCTATTTTTTGTATTATAATTCGAGAAACCAATGAGAATAAGCACGTACGTCTTAGTGACTTTGTGTTATTTCTCACGTGGTAGCAACTAAATTAAGGAAAGCAAAATAAACCTCACTTTATGTCAAATAAGCACGTAGTATAGTTTTAATGAGAAGATATAATCAGTGGAGTTTAACAATATGAGGCGGGAGGTAGTTTCCCGCAAATTGTATTGGACGATGGTTGGGCAATATAGAAAATTGATTAAATTTGGAAATGTTAACTAGCGGATGCCGACTGTATAATGTAAAGTTTAAGCTATAGCTGTGCAACCTGAAGGTTTTGGGTTTGTGAATGCACATTTCTGAGGAGTCCCGTAATAAAACGAAATACCTGTCTAGTGTTTTTTAGTTTTAAATGGTTGTCTAACTAGTCAATCTGTGGTGTAAACCATATGACAGAAAACCATTAAGTTACTGTTAGTTTAAGCTGTTTAGCAATGGTCGGGGTCCTAATTGTAAACTGAGAGATTAGGAATATTCATTTTATCGGTAATCCATGCTAATGTAGCTCGAAAATAACTAGTTTCATATTTGGTTTGGTTTACCTTATTATCTCTTCCAGTTCACTTTTTGAATTTTATTGTATTATAATATACTAAGTCAATACTTTATCAGTGGTAGTTAGGTGGATTAAAAAGTGTTTGAAGAAATTCCAACAGCTTGAATTATTATCTTTGGTTAATGATATTTCAGTTGAAGATGATATTTCCCAAGAAAAATATATCACTTGAGAGTTTTTAGTTATGACAACCATACTTAGAGGGTTTGAAAAGTAATGAATTCAGTGATTGTGTAAATTATTTCAAACATAGAGGATCTTTGAATGCGTAGAACCTCTCTGAAGTACCAATCGTTCTAAAAATTAGGCCTACCCGTTAATAATTGGACTATCTATACGCATTATTTCCATCAGACTTTAAAATGTATTTTTTCTTATCTCACTAGATGGAATTTTTGACCCAATCTGCAATGCTAGCTTAGAAAGGTTATTAAAACTTCTTTAGAAACTAATACATGGATAGGTACAGGTACATTCGCCTATCTTGAGTAATCTGAGCAAACTATGTAAATAATAGAAATTAGTAGTATATTCTATATTTTCTTGCTATATGAATAATAATACTCGAGAATGCATTCAAACGTTACAGGGTACAATAAAGAGACCATCTGGTTGCTATCTGAACCATCATTGTCTAACATTCAGACTGTTATCGAATTTCTTGAATCACCCTTATGGAAATAATCTATAACTAGTAAAAAGGATTGGTATATCGCGAAAGATCGTGAGATGTATGATGACTGAGTGCATACTTCCGGAATTAGCATCAAATTAAGAGTTGAAAGCCAATTTGACAAGTTGATTTATGAGAACTGTTGTCCGCAAACACGTAATGAGATTAGCAACATGGTGTTATTCAATTTGATGATGGTCAAACGCTGCATATACCCCTTCATTATACTTAATAGTGTTATAATAACAGATCTAACATGGAATTGTTCGCGGAAGTTGTTCAAAGGAATCGAGTATATTGATTTCAAGGTGGCGTTTCATTTAATAAATAAATGCTGATTACTTATAGAGCTACTAGTACCCGAACATCGGATATATTTTCTACGAAATTTTAGAATCAGTCTGAGATTTTTCGCTTTAAGTTAAATGTGATAATTAGGAGTATTTGAATTATAGTATACTAGATGAACACGAACGAACGCATTGTATTTGGAAATCGAAATCAAGTACAAAGGAATCATTGGTTCATATAAACTCCACATTGAGTTTCGTTAAGATTATGGGACTGTGGTCGAGGACTATTCTGAAAACAGTTGACCTACTTCAGAAAGGAACCATGATTTTGTTTGTTGGGATACATTTACGATATAGATTCCCGGTAAATGAGTATATACTATCGGATTTCAGAGTAGTCCTTATTTGTTAGGAATTGTCATATGTGTATTATGATTTTGATGTCTAATCTTGACTTTTATGCGAAGTCACATGGTAGACATTTCAGCTTATTCAGAATGCAATCAATGGTTTGTCGATTGAGGTTTGTAGTGTATATGTAAAGTGTTTTGGTAGCTGTTAGTTCAATTATCACTGCATCAAATCAATATCTTTTGTATGAAGATCTTTAAAGTCAGTGGTTGAGAGATAGTTGTTTTTTACATTTCGAAACTCATGTTTAAAACCTTGGAGGTACGTAAAGTTCACTTAAGAACGGTAATAATAATGTTACTTCGGCAAAAGGAAAAACTGAGAGTGAACGCATATGGAGCTCTGATTTGACAGGACGATGACAAATGTTGGGTGGCTATGATCTCGAAAGACTGGCAGCTTAAGATGATACATGAGTGTCACCAATTAGCGCATACAGGTATCGCAAGAGCGACGAGTTTACTGCAGCAAAGAGCATAGGGGTCAGGGATGAGAGACGTTGTGGCCCAATATGTGTTAACTTGCCAGTAGTGCCAACTATTGATAAGCGATCGATACATACAACAACTATTGCAGTTAGTCCCAGCAACCTCAGTCAGTGATCTAGGGTCGATGGGACCGTTTCCACAGACGGCTAGCGGCAACCTGTATCTGTTAGTGATGACGGAACTTGCTACACTCTGGGTAGACGCCTTACCTAGTGCATACCAGCGAGCAAAAACACTGGCCGAATTAGTTATCCGGTATTTTACAGCGTGTCATGGAATACCGAAGATGATATTAACCGACCAGGACCACTGTTTTGGAAGTGACAAGTTTGAAGCCCGTCTAGAGCAGTTTGGCATCAAGAGGATACGAACTACATCGTATCACCCTCAGATGAATGAACTTACGGAAGGAAACAACCGGACGTTTAAGAAATGGTTAGCCTCTAAAAGGAGAAATTGGGAGGCTGAGTTACTATTTATTTTGTTGGCGCATCGTGCCTCCATGCAAGGAAGAACTAGGGAGTCACCTTTTACTGTTTATATGTATTAGACTGCCACGACTTTCAGTGCATAATAAGACCTGGTCACAAAGACAAAGGTGGACGGCAACAAGGTTAAGTAAAGAGAGGAGAGAGGCAATAAGGAACGCGAAAAAGAAACAAAGAATGCGGAAAAGCAGAGAAAGGAGTGGAAAGTCTTTGCAGTGGGGGACCTAATGAAGTTTAGAGAACGAAAAGGTACCATAGTAGGGGGACCAGACTCAGGCAAACTGAACCCGAGGTGGGGAGTACCATACATCGTCACAGAGAGACATGGCTCAGCTTACACTTTCCAGTCGTTGGACTCAACCTAGTATATAATAATATATATTTCTGCAAGGGCAGCTACACGCCACTTATACAGGCATGATCTACAAGATTCAGCATTCATTGGTTCACAGTATACATCCCAAGCAGGGTTGTTAAGTAAGTATTATCTATAAAAATGAATATCAACTCACTCGTCAGATATACTGTGCAATTTTCAAAAATATTAGCCAAAGGGGCATCGCGTCCACGTTACACACCAGATCCAATCTTGGAAGAATTGTGTTAGGATTTTGGTCGTGCTAAGTATTTATGCAATGTAACTTTCGAAGTTTATAGTTGTTATAAAGTAGACTTGTCGAGCGCTTGGTGTAAACTGTGACCTTGGGAAAACGTATACGTCGAGTTTGTTCCATATGCCAGAAATTCCACAGCTTTGCCCTCAGAGCAAAATTCTGAAAAAAAGAGAAACCTAGGAGCAGCAAGACATTTGGATATGAACGATAAACAATGCTTAACATTTAGTAGTGGAAAAGACAGAGGTATGATAAATTATTAGAATAAATTCATACTAGCTCTTGTTGCTAGAGGGAAATGTGATCAGAGGCTCCAGATGCGAGAATGCAGTAATAAAGAACAATGAGCTGTGATATTCAACAAGGTGGAGTAAGCTCAAATGAAGGAAGGGAAGTCAAGGTTGGAATAAGGAAAGCTGTTTATTGGAACAGAGAGTGCAAGTGAAGTGTTAAGAAAACTAATAACTATATCTTTTTTTGTCTGACTTTTTTTCATCCGAGGCCAACCACACAATCCTAGTGTAAAAGTCCGAGTTAGCATGTTATATTTTGTCCTGATAGAACAGATAATCTAGCATAAACTTGGAAATATGAATCTGAGTGGTAAGCGTAGGAGAACAACCTCAATATCACAGATTGATTGACTTGTACTCAATCATAAAGAGCCTGATACGAACAAAATCTTCTACTCACAAACATTGGTGGATTGAAGTCATCATCTTCACCATTAATGCTTACTGGTCAGTAACTCCACCCTCCCTCCTTTTGTTATATTAGGCTCATTTAAGCTTTTCTAGATAAGTATTATACCTCACACAATGCTCCATGTTTCACAAACTGTTGGTAAACACTATTTCTATAAGTACCATTTTACAAGCTTATCAAGCAGTTACAAATTTCGGGTAAAGCAATGATTTAACTGACTACAATGTAAAGTATAGGTTGACAATAAAAGTATAGACACTAGGAAGAGTATAATGTAGGATAGTTGTTACCGCAGTTGTTAGGAAGCAGGATGGCTTTTGATAAAGAACAGTGGGACAAATACTGTGCAATGCTGGGAAAGGCTATCTCTTTGGTCAAACTATGCCGACTGTATGAGGGCCAAATCGTGGCCCATATCAAAGGTGACTTGGATTGAACACACTTTACAGAAGAAATTTTGCTGGCATCCTAGAAACTTCCCATTAAGCGACCCTTCCAAATCCGAGTTAGACACTACAAACAGTGGGCCGTTACAAATGCCTATAAAAGATCGACAAACACCAAAGAGCCGACCAGTATGGCGGTTCACCGAGTGCCTGAGCTATTAGGTCATTGTCAGAATGAAACTCAAAAATATGATAAGCTACAGTGACGTGTCCATCGTGTACCAAAGTGCTCCATGTCACTGCGATAATTGACGTATCCAGGCTATCTCGTCTGTCAATCCTCATGGCCATAAAGTCTCTGTGACTGATTGTCATGCACCGAAGAAACTGAGGGTATCC